CTGATTCTCGTGCAGAGACTTCATCTCGTCTTGCATTGCCTTTTCCCATTCTTCTTTCTCTGAGCTCGTCACAGCCTCATCATAACTCTGAGGCTCACTATCTTCAGGAACAACGGTATATTCATCAGATGGGTATCTCGTAGAGGGTCTTCTTTCTCGAGTTGGATATCTCGGCTGTTCTTCAGCTTGAGGACCCGGTTCATCATTCTCATCCCGGATCTCATCATCAACGGACATCAGTGTCTTGGTCATCTTCAGCTTGTTGCTGATCATCATTTTCTTCATTTTCTTGATTTTCTCCCCTTGTTTCAGCTCGAATAGGAGGGATGGGTTCTTCTCGTCTGACTGTAACTCGGACTTTGGGCTTCGAGATGTCATGAATGTTCTCATGCTCATGAAAGATCACATCTCGGCTTCTCACGATCTTCTTATTGATTGGATCCCAAAGTCGGAACCCGAACTCACATCTCGGCGAACCAAGATAGATGCACTCTTTTGTCTTCGCATCAAGTTTAACCTTTTCATCTTTAGGGATATGCACGAAAGCTTAGCATCCAAACACCTTCAATTGATTATAGGCCGCTTTTTGACCTGTCCGGACTTCTTCTGGAATTTCTCCTTCAAGTGGCCGTGATGGTGAGAGGTTGATCAAGTCAACAGCTGTTTTGACGGCTTCTCCCCATAATGATTTCGGCAATCCGGCATTGGATAACATGTTTCGGACCTTCTCTTCAATAGTTTTGTTCATCCGCTCAGCCAGTCCATTCAGCTGAGGTGTCTTAGGGGGCGTCTTCTCAAGTCGAATCCCGGCCGCTCTGCAATATGCATCAAAAGGGCCGCAATACTCACCACCATTATCAGATCGGACCACCTTCAATTTCTTGCCAGTCTCCCTTTCAACCATTGCATGGAATTCTTTACAGGATTGGAGTACCTGGTCTTTAGACTTCAACAAATATACCCACACTTTGCGGGAATGGTCATCAATGAATGAAACAAAGTACTGAGCTCCTCCAAGGGAGATTCCGACATGGAGCAAACATCAGTATGAGGTCAAGAATATACCTGCGTCGTCTTGGTTGATCCGGTCTCACAAAAGAAACCCGGTGCTGCTTTCCAGCTAGGCAGTGCGTGCAACTCTCCAACGCTTGACTTTTCAACCCGGTCAGTAATCCTTTCTTGTTTAGGATCTGAAGCCCTTTCTCGCTCATGTGGCTGAGGCGCTTGTGCCATAGCTCCAAGCTAGGTTCATCTTGAACAGAATTGACTTCTCCGCCATTGATCTTTCCTTGCATCACGTACAAGGAGCCTTCCTTCTTACCTCGGGTCACGACCAAGTTTCCCTTGGCCAGCTTCCATCTAACACTACCGAAGTAGTTCACTAACCCGACATCATCAAGTTTGCCTACCGAGATTAGGTTCAAACGCATGTCAGGAACATGCCTTACATCTTTCAACACAAGTCGGCATCCGACATCCGTGGTCAGAGTTACATCACCGACACCAACAATCTTGATGGTCACTTGATTTCCCATCTTCACGACTCCAAAATCACCACCTCAGTAAGAGGAGAAAAAACTTTTGTGTGGAGTAACGTGGAAGGAGGCACCAAAGTCAACAATTCAGGTGCAGTCATCATATGCAACATTCAAATAATTATCCTCACCTAGGAGGAATATCTCGGCATTTGAGTTGGCAGCCACCGCAGTGGTGCTCTTGTCTTCCCTCTTCTTAGGAATAATCTGATCCGACTTCACAGAGCCGTTCTTCTCATCATTCTGCAGGGTCCAGCAGTCTGGCTTCTTATGACTTGTCTTTCCACAGTAAAAGCACTTCAATTCATATTTCGGCTTTGACCGGCCTCTGGACTTTTTTCGTCTGTCACGACCTCTACCCCCGCTTTTGCTTCTAGCCCGGGAGTCGAATTTCCCTTTGTTCTCAGCAATGTTGACCTCAGACGTGCTTGAAACACCTCGTTCTCTTCTCCTGACTTCTTCGCTCAGGAGGCTGTCTGTCACGACATCCATCTTCACTTTTCCTTCTGGAGCTGAATTACTCAAAGTCACCACCAGAGTATCCCAGCTTTCTGGCAACGAGCTCAACAGCAGCAAAGCCTGCATCTCATCATCAATTTTCATCTCAGTTTTTGACAGCTGATTCACAATACCTTTATAGGTGTTGAGGTGTTCAATCATGCTCATATCGTCCTTGTATTCAAGCTTCACAGGTCGGCGAACCAGGTATGCTTTATTCCTGGGAGTCTTCTTCTGAATCATGGACTCCAGCTTCGTCCACAACTCATACGCGTTCGTGAACTCGGACACGTGCTCAAAGAGGCTTTTATCAATATATTTCCTGATCGTGGCTACCGCCTTCCGACTCAGGATCTCCCACTCCTTATCAGTTTTGCCTGCCGGTCTCTCATCAAGGATAATGGGCTCATGTAAATCTTTGCAGTAGAGATGATCTTCCATCATCGGTCTCCAATAGGTGAAATTATCTGCGGTCAACTTGAACATGTCTCCATCATTGGTTATGCCACTGGTCTCCATCTCGTCTCCCTCAGAACCCGTCGAACTCGGGCTCTGATACCACTGTTGAGAACTCGGTTCCCTCAAGCTCGGCTAAGCAGCTTTTGTGCGGAAGTCAATCAACAAGATCCTGATCTCGGATCTCGGCAATACCTCGGCCTGAACTTCACCAGGTCAGGCAGCGCAGCGGAAAAATCCAAAACGAAAAATCACAAAACAGGAGAGAGAGAAGAAGAACACAACCAGATTTAACGTAGGAAAACCTTCTTCAACGAAGAAGTAAAAATTCACGGGACCTAGTCCAAATCAAAAATCCACTATGAAAATAATAGTTACAAATAGTCAAATACACCAATGTGGTGGTTAACTCAACCTCTCCAACAATGGTGATAATCAAACTACCCTAGAAATATTTCACTCAAACTCTCTCTGGAGATCTCTCAAATGCAAAGCATAAAGCTTTGCTCAAACAATTTTCTCTCAAATATCTGTCAAATAAAATTCTTTCATATGACCTAGCCTCCACCCACAACTAATGAGTATATATAGAGAGGTGGAAATTAGGATTATGATTTTTAAGAAACCCCTCAAATGGGCTTGAGCTTAGCATTGAAGGAAGAAGCTCAACAATTTGAACTCTATTTAACCATAAAAATATAGTGTCTTCAACACTTATCATCTATTCAACAACTTAGTTGAAGTTTCGCTGTGATTTTGGTTCCTCTACACGTGTATGCTCTTTCTTTCGATCCGCTGCCTCACTTGTCTTGATTGCTCGGTTTCGATACAAAATGTGGTTCTTTCTTTCGAACCTTGGTTAGTCGTTTTGATGTTGGGTTTTCGATTTATAACATGTTGATCGAAGGTATGGCATTTTTTTTCTATAATGTACAGGTTTTTTGGCCTCATCATTTTGTGATCATATTGAATTTATGAAATTTTTTGTTTTGATGTTGTGTTTATGCCAATTAATTTTTGTTTAGATAACATTATTTCATATGGTGCCTTGCCAGATGTCGCATGGGCAGCTTTCCATAAGTGCAAGACTGCTTTATTAAAGTAAAAACTTTTTTTTTTATATTTTTTTAATTATTGTTTAGTAATGAATCTAACATTTTGCAAGCGTGTATCACGCTTATGTGTGTAAAATAATCTCATTTTGGTATTATTTTTTTGGATTTTATTAATATCATGTTAAAAGAGATAAATTATCTCATGTCATAGAGACAAACTTATGAGCTCTATCACCTGAGAAATAAAAAGAAAAAAAATGAAAATAGTGACACAGTTATCGTCTTATCGAAAAGTATGTAGGAAGAAAAACTTATATAGCATGAGAATAGTTTTTTCCTATTTTTTTGGTAAGTATTTTTCCATATAAGTTATTTTCCCAAAACTCATTTTGAATTAATAAAAAGCGTTTTCATAATTTTGTTTATCATATGAATTTTATCGAAATACCCTTCATTAATCCTCTAAAAATTACAAAAACACATTCATTAATTGAAAAAGTTGTAGCTTTGAGGTTGTTGCCTCCAAAACTATGTCATTTTGAATTAATAACAGGTATTTCTGTAATTTTGTTAATTTTTTTATGGGATAGGATATTGTGACACCCAAGTTATGTTACACCCATGTGACACCCAGTCAATCTCACCGTTAGATCGCTTATGTTGATCCAACGGTTATATTTATTTCCATCTTTGTATGGTCATGATTTCCCAAATTTAATATTTTATATTTATTTCTACCTTTGTATGGTTATGATTTCCCTTATTTAATGCTTTCACTTTAAATTTGAGAAATCATGACCATAGAAAGATGAAAATAAATATAATCGTTGGATCAATATAAGCGATCTAACGGTGAGATTGACTGGGTGTCACATGGGTGTAACATAACTTGGGTGTCACAATATCCTATCCCTTTTTTATAATATGAAATTTACTGAAATACTCTTTATTAATTCTTTTAAAATTACGAAAATATCTTTCATTAATTTAAAACGACATAATTTTGAGATCGTCGGATATTTTTTTTCTCTCTCTATTATTCTCTCCCCTCTCTCTTCAATATGTGTCTATAGAAGATTGTTTTTTCTCCTAAATTGCATAAGTAAAACAATTCCTCATTGGTTTTACAGATATATGTCTATTCAACAGTAAGAAAAAGAAGTTATACACAGCAATCATATGCTTTTTAAGATACAAAATAGTATTCTAAAAAATATGTGTCAGCTGACAGTAACTTCTCTGTCGAGCAACAAGATATTTTAGGATTAACAACGTCATTGTTTTTATCATATTTTTTGTTTTTTTATATTTTATTTTACATTAAGGTTTTCTACCCCTAATGGTTCAGGTACAATACATTTTTCATCTCAAAATTTTCGCAATACAAAGGACAACAGGTTGGCCTTCTCCATTTCTTGTCATTTACAGAGTACAAAGTCAAACATTGAAACTCAAAAGTTACACCGTGGTGTTGGTCTGTCTCCAACCATCTGCCTCCACGAGTCATTCGTTGCAAGAAACCAGAGTAGAAGGAACACAAGTACAAACGAAGTCATGGAGAATGTTCCAAACCTACCTCAAGAATTGTTGGAGGATATCCTTATCAGGCTTCCATACAAATCATTGGTTCGCTTCAAGTGTGTCTGCAAGCACTGGTATGCTCTTTTTCATTACCCTATTTTCTTGTCTCGTCACCTCTCAAACTTTATCCAAAACCACAACTCTGGCCATAGCGTGCTTCTCAGGCTTTCCTTCCCCACTTTATTCGGAGATGGCTTGGAAAATTATAAACTATTTTCCTTGTCTGCAACTGATGCTGATTTTTCAGCTGTTGAAACCTTAATTCCCAAATTCAATATGCTTTCAACCAAGTTCCAAATTTGTGGTCACTGTAATGGTATATTGTGTTTGTCTATTGATTATTGGCCACGCAGTAAGGAGGTTCTTTTGTATAATCCCGCAACTAGAGAATTTAGATGTCTTCCTGATAATGTTTTGCGTTTGAAACCCTCATCAGTAGCTTTAGCTGTTGGAATGGGGTATGATCCAATCACTGATGATTATAAGGTTCTAAGGATTTGGAGAGTTGATGCATTTGATAATGGTGGTGTGTTTCGTGGTCGTACGAATCGGGTTGAGGAATATGCTTTAAATACTGATTCATGGACATTGCTGAATGATACCAATGCAGGGAATTTTGCTTTTGAGACTGATTGTTTTGCAATGTACTTTAAAAGAACTTATTATTGGTGGGCATTCAGCCGGGAAGACAAGTCCTCAATAATCGTGGCTTTTGATATGGAGGATGAGGTTTTCCAAAGGGTACTAATGCCACCCCATATTGATATTAGTGAACCTGATGGTAGATCTCTAGCTGTCTGGAATGACTCCATCTCACTAATTTGCTGTACTTATCATGATTTTACAACATCCATTGACATATGGGTGATGGATTTAGTTGGCGCGGAGGGTTCTTGGACCCTAATGCGAAGTATAAAACATCTAAGAGAAGAGCCTAAACCATTAGTTTTCTGGAAAGGTAATGAGCTTCTTATGGAGATGTCCTGTGGAAAGATAGAGTCCTATAATGTTGATACTGAAGAAATTAAGGATGTCATGATTGAGGGTTATACAGTTCAACATTCATCTCAAGCTGTGAATTATGTGGCAAGTACAGTTTCATTGAAGGGTGGAGGAAATTACCTTATCTGATGCACCTGTTTCTCAGTTCTTTCTAATGCAAGGTTCCCAGTACAGCTTTCATTTCTTTAGAAACCTTACTGACTGAGTGGTTTCTGATTTGGTTTCTATGCTGGGCAATATTGAACTCATTTCACTTTTCTCATGTTTACTGATGTTGTTATGCTGATCGTTGCTATGTGTTACAAAAAACAGCTAGCGGATCTAGCAGTTAGCTTTTAGAGTTGAAGTTAACTTGGTGCTGTGGAGTAATTTTTATTTGGGAAAACTTCAAAAAAATCCCTGTAACTTTTCTCGGAATCATTTACCTCCTTGACTTAAAGTTTTTTTTATCATTTACCCCCTAAGTGAGGGGGGTAAGTGATAAAGAAACTATACCAGAATTCTTCTTTCATATTAGAGGTTCTTGTGTTAATAAGTAGCATAAGCTTCTGTGAAATTACGCTCTTTTAGCTGGAGTGGTTTGTATTTGGAATTTTGGATTGAACAGAATGCTAGAGTGCCGCTAGCCAGAGGGTTTTACCTGAGCATCTTATTTGGGTTGAGCTTGTTTTTCTTACCTCTTTGTGGAGTTGAGCTAATGTGTCTATTAGCGGGTTTTGTTGGCAGATATGCAAAAGAACTAGAAACTAGAAAATCTTTCTGAGCTGATGTTCTTCACTTTTTTGCTTTGTCCTCCGAGTAATTTTTCTTTCCGTTTGAGAATTGTTCCTGATAGCCTCTGGTTTGTATCTAACATATACTTCTTTTATTAGAAAAGAGAGGAAATTAGCAAGTGATGATCAGCTTACGGATTTTTGCAGGAATTTTGTCTCGAATTTGCATGAGACTGCATCCATATATTCCAGACTTTAAAGTCAATATTGTCCTGTTTAAAAGAGTTTTCCAATACAGTCTCTTCCTATTCAGGCATATATATCATATTTACTTAGCTGCTTGGTTTTCTTTCATCCTTTGTTTCATTAAATCCATCCATTCATCCTTACACTTAGTTCTGCAATTTAATTATAGAAAAAGAAGGATCAAGAGCGAAAGCATTTTGATTGTGAATATAAGTCCCTGATCTCTTACATCTATGTGATGAGCTATGCACTAACCGTAATACATGTTGAAGAGCTATATTCAGCTAATTAGAAAAAGAAATGAAATAAATAGGGCAGCTAATGTGTATACTATTCCTGCATTTCCCTTCAAATTAGACCACACATGTCATGTGAACCAATGTTACAGATCAAGCCAATTCAAGGACATCTAAGAAACAAAGTAAATAATTTTCTATTTGAGTTGACAAAACCAACAGTAATGCACCTTGACAGAATCGCTTCCTTGATGAAATTGTAATCAATCAGTGTTCTCTCATGAAAATTTGGATTGGATTGTATGCAATATAAAATACTGCTTGATTATTGTAAATCAGCTTCTTTTGCTTTTACTTCTCCAAACTTTGATTCTTGAAGCACTTTTTCATAATGTAATCCCAAAACGAGAGAAAGAGAGGAGAGAGGGGAGGGAGGGGGAGATGAGAATGGATTTTTTTAAAAAAAAAGATAAGATAATGTTGTTTTATTTTAAGGGCTGTATTACTCTCCTTTAACATGAGAGCAATTGTTTTTCTTGTACAAACATTGATTTGAGTGCTCTCTTTTTTTGGACAAGAAGTAGGTCCCACCAAGAATTGTATCTATAACATGATAGGATTACTCTCCTATTACATGAGAGTAATATAACCCTTGTTTTAATGATAAGTTTCCTTCTTTTATATCAAACACCTTCTCTAAGGTGGTGTTTGGTTGGGAGTTTTTTAGGGGATATCTATCTTTCTCAAGTATGACTTTTAGAAACACCATGTTTGTTTCAACGTTTTTCACCAAAAACCCATCTATCCAATTTGTCTGGATTTATGAGAAACATAGATATCCACACTGTTTAGAAACCCAATTTGAAGGTGGGATTTTTCGGAAAACCGGTTATCTGACTTTTAATGCACTGTTGATTTCATAAAGTTACCTAATTTTTCCAGTAAAGTTTTTCCCCACCAAACAACTTTTTTTTACATTTTTCTACCTATCTCACTTTATCTATCTTTCCAATCATTTCTCAACCAAACGCCCCTAAAGGTTTCCAATCTGTGCATCTTGTTGTTAGTCTTTCCCATACCAGTTTCTTTTATTATTAATACAAGTCTTCCATTCCTTTTTCATCCCTTATTCGTCCTTAAGCCTCGTTATCTCATTATTTGTGAAACTTTTGGGAGTTTTTTCAGACATTATTTTTTCTTCTGTCTCCAAGTCACCATTGTATAGAGTTTTCAAAATTTAGGATCATGCTGACGTTTATAAAGCCATAGCTTCTTGATATTTAGCTTCTATACTTAGACTTTACAACTTCCTGCTTCTTATTCTTAACGAGATACCTAGTTGTGCCCAATACAATAAAAACACCCTGAAGTAGAACATGATCATAACAAGACCCATCTCAATCCGCATCAATATAACTAATCATGCGACCTTATCTCTTATCTTCGTAAGTTCTTATAACAGTCCTTGGACTTGTGCTCCTTTAATAACTTTCTATCACCATCACATACAGACTAGGAATTGACAGCCAAACTCACAACATTGGGATGCTTAGTGATATTGAGATAGTTTAGCTTTCCACCAAGTCTCTAGTATCTCCCAAATCCCAAGGTCTGCTGAAGTCTCCGGCTGTCCTAGGAAGTGCATCAACTGGTTTGCAATCTATTAATATAGCACACCAGCTTCATCCAGTATCTTTAATGCATACTTAACATGAATTATGGCGCTAGAAAACAGCCTGACATGCCACATGTAAAATTTACTTGAAAATTCAGATGAGTTGTTTTAAAGCACAGACAAAAGGAACTCATGGCGACCAATAAGACAATAAATTTCTATTAGGATTTTTCCTTGCACTTCTAATTTATAATTTCTTGTGGTACAGGTACATTGAGAAATTCTTACCAGCACTTGAACTTCAACCTTTATCGAAATTACAACCCAATAAAAAAATAAAAAATTTCAACTAATTTTAGCTAAGTAAATCATCAAAACCAGTATAAGCAAACGTGAAAAGCAAAATTTGTTTCCAAACACAAATGCTGAGCTATTTTCTTCTCTTATGACTGCAGACTGTCATGCTCTTCAATATCTATTCCAGGTGATGCTGCTGCTTCAACTATTTCTATAGATTTATTGTTCGTAACTGAGAAGGAAAACTCAGAAACCAAGGCCAAATGGTCGCTTCCCACTTTCTATTGATCAAGAAAAAAACTAGTTAGATTAGTGGGGGGAAACCGCGCCACAAAATAAGGATTGCAAGCATATGATCACTCAATCCTTGCGAAGTGCTAAAAGTCAATTGCACCTATTTCATATCAAAAACAGCTCTACAAAGCGAATGATTGTTATGCTCATAAATGAAAATATAATAAGAAAAATGATGAGATGCATAAAGAATGACTAACGGGAAAGCATCAACAAAATTTTGAAAAAGCCAAGTCAGATCAAACCGTAAATTCAAGACAACATTATTATATTCGTCCAATTCCCACAAGCAACAGATTAATGATTCAACCTTCAATCCTGGTTTTTTGTTTTATTGGGTGCACGGGTGGGTGGGCTGAAAGCCCAAAAAAATCTCATCCTGGCTCTCCAAAAATCTTAAACCTTACATTTCTTAGCAATTTTGTTAGCTCTCCATTACATTCGGAAAAACCTCCTCAATCCCTTCATAGTGCATGCTGAATCACATAAGCAATTTAACGCTTCAAGAATTTTAACTTGGAATTGGAAGCAGTAATACCTTGCATGGAAGGCCACCTGCCCTCAGGAGATCGCTAATTGGAACGGTATCAAGAACTCTTGTAGGTACAATACCGTCTGAGTACCTGCATCAAGTGCAATCAATCTTAGGTAACTGTCATCGTTAAGGCTACAACCATCATATTTTTCACAACCAAAATCTTTGGCAGAGCTTAGGAAAGACATTGATTACCATAAGTAATCTACAGTACCAAGAAACTTTGAGTGATAGGAAGTTGCCAAGGGTTCACCATTGAATCCCCGCGTACTAGTTGAACCCTGAAAAGGTTTATCATTTTATTATTCTACTGGCATGGGCCAGGGGGAAGAAATATGGAAAATCATACATAGTAATAATAGGTTGCAAAAGAATGACTAGGTAGTAGTACATTAACTGTGGCATACGAACTATTCAGCTTTAATGGATGCACAGCAAAATGACGTTCTGAATCACCGGTTGCAATTTTTACCTCTTCATCTGTCCAGCACTTAAACAATCTGGAAACAGTAGTTTGAGAGCATCATACTGAGATAACGCTGAATGGCACAAACACTTTCAAGAAACATGCCTTCTTCAATGAATACACATGAGTAAGTTGCAATCAGCAGAAGAGGAGAAAGTGATAGCACAATTAATGGTCATCAAATATTATAATCCCACAACAAAAAAAAGGGTCATAAAATGTTATAATTTATATCACACGAAATCTGCCATGAAAATGCATGTATCATATAAAAGAGTGCTTAATCCATATTCAGGAATAGACATTCATGAATAAATTATAGCTCATTAATTTATTTTTTTTAAAAAGGTCAATGTACTTTTCCTTTTAGAAAACTTCAGGAGAAATAAAATATTCTTAAGGAAATAATGGAAATAAGATGAGTATAGTTATCGAAATATTAATGCAGGAAACACACACACACACACCCAAATACAAGACTCGAGTTTATAGGTATAAATGGTGAAAAAGTAAAACTACCTGATCTCAAAAATGTAATCAAACTGTGATGTCATTACACTCATACACTGTCAGCTTAAGTTTGTGATAACTGATAACCAAACAGTGATTCTCTACTATATAAACTACACATTCACACCTACTCCGTACTTGTATTATATATTTAATCGCCAAAATGAAATGGAAAAGTACCCATCCAGAGAGATAAATGGACCAACTGTTTCTTTTTTCTCGCCTAAAACTTGAGCCGGACGACAGCTTTTTTGTCCAGATAATTCCTTTCTGTCATATAACATGATATTAAGCTGCAATTGAAAAGCACATCCAATTTCAAGGAAGCATCTTCAACATTAACTACATGCTTAGAATCATAGTATAATCAATCTTACAATCGTGGCGAGTATTAGGGATGTTAACGAGTCGAGCCGGGTCGGGTTTTGGTCTTAAAAGGCATTAAACGTGTTAGTCTGATCTAGTCTATTACCTACTATGAATATAATTATCGGTGTGGTCTGACTTATTTACAAAAAATAAAAGTCTGGTTTAGTTTGTTAGCCTGTTAAAAATAATAAGACAACAAAAATTTGTCCAAACAAAATATACGATCAATAGCGCTAATAATTCTACAAAAATTCATAAATTCAATGTATATCCAAACAGCATAATATAGAATAAAATCATTCAAAAAGTCTGTTTAACCAATAAAATAGGGTGAAATTGCTTGATAAGAGAGAGGAGGCTATTATGAGTAGTATAAAAATATAAAATAAAAATAAAAGTTAGTATACTAGACCAGCCTAAGAGGTTCTAAGACCAGACTTTTGAATTGAAGCTTGAGGTCTTTTTATTAAACGGACTTTTATATAAGTCTAAACCTGGTTCTAACAACAAATTTTAGACATGTAAGCCCAGGCCTTCACGAGTCGGGCCACATGCCCCTGGTTCGTTTACCACCCCTATCCAGTATAAATGAATTTGCAAAACCAAGATAATGTGAAAGTGATAACAATTTCAATGTTATTCACCTCCGACGATGACAAGAACTTGTATATTCCACTCTGTTGAAGAAAAATTATAAAGAGAACTCAGTATGTCAAAAATGAAGAACACAAAGTAAATGACAAAATCCTATCTATTTTCTGGAACACGGCACCTCAGGAGTACTATTAAAATCACCAGCTAGCACAACAGGGGTATTACCCCATTTCTCTGAGAGGATCTGTGCTCTTGACAAGAGAAAACGAATCTGAAATATTAAAAATTTCAATTATCGAGAGTATAGGAAGTTCTAGGAAAGCAATGAAAAAATTGATAATGAACGTTGAAAAATAAAGTGAAATACATACTCGACTGGCATTTCCTAGATAACATATGCTCTCTATGGATTAGGCATAGTAGTTATCCCAACAATAGTTTACCACTAGATGAAAAGAATATAATTGGCTAGAGCTCCAACGAAAATAAGAGGAACGGGTAATGGAAAGATAATAAAAAGCACCACATGCAAACAGCAAGTGAGCAATTAATGCTTCGCATAACACTTGATTTTACTTACTTTCTTTTGTGTTTGATACTCTTATACTTTTACTCCTATTACTTTTATATTTCGTTTATCATATTCAGTTGTTAATTATTTCAAGAAACATTCTCTCATATTAAATATGACTTCTTGAATATGTTAATAAAAAACCCTGCACAAATGTTAATTTCCAAAGTTATAGTGCATGCGGAAAGGTCAAAAGCACCTTCCTTGAGCTAATCATTATAGAGTAGTGACGTTCTAACGTAAAAATGAGGTAACAAAAAAACACTTACTTGACCTAATTTAACTTCTCCCCTGTTTGGGTTATAAAGTACGTGGATGTTACCAACTAACAGTCTTCTGGAGTCAGATTCACACATCTGCCTGCACAGGATGAAGTTAGAAATGCAAAGGATGACTAATTGGATATGCAGTAGAACAATATATATAGTAATAACAATGAGGTAATAAAGGATGGCTTTTGGACCACTATAACCCATATTTAATAATTAATTACCAAATTGATCTTCATTATAAACTATTTCAAAAATTTAACCTTGCTTACAAACATAACATCAATCTGTCCTTGTTTGACCGTTGACCATCAAGCCTACCCGGGTATCCCCCTCCCTACCCGGATATTTTTTGAAAATTTTACCCTACCCGAATAGTCAAGGGAATACCCTGATATATTTCAAAAATCTGGAAAAATGGTTGAATTATCTACCCGGGTAGGGAGGAGGCTACCCGGATAGGCTTTAATCCGTAACAAACTGAATAGTGTCGTTTCCAAGGAAAATGGCTTTACAGTGTTACTTTTTGTTCCTCCGAAAATGTGTAAAAATGATTAACACAGTCTGCTACAGAGGCAAGGGTTGTTACTTCATCAGATTCTGGCTTTGAAACAGCAACTGTATGATTTTGATTTACATTGAGGAGTTCACATGATCCAGCATGGATTATCAATGTTATTATTGATCCTTGAATCCTTTGTTGTTTGTTTGGTATCAGCCTTTGTAGTTATTTTTGTGGAACATTGAAATGACTTCTTACATAACCCAGCATCAGAATATTGATCTTTAGGCAATTCAGGGGCTGCCTTTTCATCCAAATCAAATGAAGAAGGAGGAATTAAATCTTGCATGACATCGGAATAGATCTTTTTAACACTTTCCCCAACAGTTTGCATCTGATTCTCTATGTGTTTAACAGTTTCCTATTCCCAAATAACAAACAAATAAAAGGACTATAGTGGACTGTTAATGTAAATCAACAGCTGGCCAGGAACAATCAGTCCCAAAAACAGTTCAATCAGGCTAGTGTTACACAATGCAGATCATATAGAATTATTTACAGAAATTTACCCGGGTAGCCTCTTCCCTACCCGGGTAAATAATTCAACCATTTTTTCAGATTTTTGAAATATACCAGAGTATCCCCTTGACTATCCGGGTAGGGTAAAATTTTCAAAAAATACCAAAGTAGGAAGGGAGATACCCGGGTAGACTTGATGGTCAACGGTCAAACAGGGGCAGATTGGTGTTATGTTTGTAAACAAGGTCAAATTTTTGAAATAATTTATAATCAAGGTCAATTTGATAATTAATTATTAAATATGGGTTATGGTGATCAAAAAGTCGGATAGCTAGTGCTTACGTTCAAGCTAATGTAAGACATCACATTATATAAAGCAAGAGATGGCCAAGGAGCTAGGAATTCAGGCAGCACCCTGGTGCCACAGCACTCACTTTTATAAAGACTTTTGCTTTTAATAAATATTCCTACAACAACGCTGATAATCAATATCTCAACTATATAAGATATTCAGCCGTACTTGCAACTATGTTACTTTTTCAAAGTCATGCCATGCAGTAGTAAATCATCAAGGGTTCAGACCCAGAGCTATTCACCCATCCCAGGTGAACATCTATTGGAATGGAAGCCTTGTATGTCATGCCTTGGACCCTGGCTTGCGGTAAGGAGGATGCAAGCATCAAGTTAAAATTATGAAACGTAAAAGTTAAAGAGTAAATCCTGCATTTGCTTGTTTTAGGGTTCGGTGGAACAAACAATCTCCAACATTTGCTTCTAATTGTTTGGTGTGGGCAAAGAATTTTCTGACTTTGATTTTTGTTAGAAATATAATAAAAAACAATTCATGTGTCTTCACCTACACAAGAGGGATAATTATTTTTTAATTAAAAAAGAAAAGACTACAAGAACATATGCGAAGTTTTAAAAAACCAAAAAGGACAAACCATTGTCATATCATTAAAAGAAATTAGCTAGCTGACATCAAAGAACTGATACCTCAAAAACAAAAAGTTGAGCAACATTATCACGAAGGCCAATGTCCTTAAATTGAATGCTCTCTCCTTCCAATAACCGGAACCTGACAGACAGAAAGAAAAGACCAATCAGAGTGAATAGAATAGATCTATCAATTTTTATCTAACAACCAAAGTGAGCAATTAATATATTACTTATCAGCTTTCCAAAACATTGCACAACCGTCGACTGAATCTCCAGTGCGTCTCTACAGCTCCATTTACACAACTCATTAGGTCCTAAAATAGTTAGACACCTACAAAATTGTGGTACGTACTACTACCGTGCACAGGCTAATGACAAATTTCACATGTTTAATGATTAACGCGGATCAAAGCAGCTAAAAATTTATAATTTCCTTGAATGAACCGGAAATTGATCCAGAAGATGTCAAGCATTGAATAGACCAAACCGAAGTACAAAGAAGAAACACATGAAACAAAGCTGAAGTGTTATATATTTGGCACATTATATGTAACAACCAATCTCAGATTTAGGTACAGTAGGGTCTTAAATTCAGAGAAAGTTTCGAGGAAATGAAAATATACCTTATAAGATCCTCTGTATCCTGCTTTAACCAATATGTTTGAGAGTTCAAAATACTTGTCCACCTCCTGACAATACCATTCCGAACATTTCAAGTTACTATTTTTGAGCTCCAAGTCTAAATAATGAATCATGATTAAACATATCTCTCAAAAGAACGGGGACAAAGGCTATTAATAAAGATGAAACGTTACTTGTAAACAGATAATATCAGGGTTCCATCCAAAGAGTTCATCACAAATAATCCTCCTACGACGATCCCAGTTAATATAACGAGAAGGAACGTTTACATATAAATCAGAGTGTTGAGAAGCATTTCTATCCGCGAGAATGTTATACGACGCCACAGTGAATCTTTCTGGAACATAATAAAGCAAATGAATCCACTCCAGTACGTAGTAGCCACATGTGAAGAGAAGAGAGAGCAAACAGAAGCTGAGTGAGCAAGAAGAGAATTAACCTGGAGATGCGAACGGTAGATCAGCAGCTTCAACCCAATGACGTTTAATTTCGGGAGAATTTGAACGCCATTGAATTTGGGAAGCAGTGGGACCATTGAATTTGAAGCAGGTTGGGACAAAGAAGAAGGGATTGCGCTTCGATGAAGATAAAGACGAAGCTACGAGCCAAGACGAACAAGTAAAAGAGCCATTGTTGCAGGCCATTACTCTCTCTCTTACCTTTGCCTCAACAAGGAAACACCCAAGGTTAGCGCCACAATTCGTTATCTAATCCCAATGCCTCTTTCTCTCCCTTTAATCCTAACCGTTTCCTTTTCCTCTTCTCTTTATATAAAATTTTAAATACTTCATACTGATTGGCTTCAAAAATTCCTAATTTTTTTGTTTTAACTAAGAGTTTGATATTTATAATATTGCAGTAAATAAAATATTTTCTTAGTACCCATAAAAATGTGCCCTGTATACAATATATAAGTTATGTGAAAAGAGAGGAGATAAAAAATAAATATGGTTTCATATATTTTAAATATGTAGGAGATAATTTTCTACACTCCACACTCATTAGTCGAGTTTAAGGGAAAGTAATTTTTTAGAAGATAATTTTTTCTTCTTATCTCCTATATTAGGAAAGACATTAAACTCTTTATTCAATCAACTATATTTTATAATAAAACTACCGTTTTTATTAAAAGAATTTTTAAAAATTTTGTATGGAAATTCCACAAAGTTAAAACAATTGTTTATTCATTCTCTGCAATTGATTAATTTTGTGGAACAAACCTTATCAAACCATCAATCTACCAGTACAAGGATGGTTAACTAGTATGTACAATTTCTGTGTTTACAAAAAAAAAAAAAAATACATTTTTAATTGGGCTTGTTTGAGCTAGGATTGAAATGATTCCAAATCATAACCGTTTCACAGTTAAATTGATTTTTCAGTCTTGTTTTTGTTTTGTTTTATTTCTTTGTGAAACTAGGGCATAGAGCAGTAACCGAAAAAAGGAGGGTGGAGGAGCAGAGGTCAGGTCAGGTCCCTTACTTTTATCTCGTAACAGAATGTTGCGTTATTTAGGTTTTGCTCTAAAGTGTATGTGGTTGATTTCGCAGGCGATGGCGTCGATTGCTGTGTCTGCTGAAGCGGATCGGAATGTCATGAGCATGAGGTAACCAAAGATCACGTTCGAATGAGAACCTTTTTTTTTTCTTTTTTCTTTTTTGTTTGCATTATCGAATGAAAGTTTGGGGATAAATTACACACGGAAGTAAAGTTGAAGAAGGACCATTGGGCTTTTGGCTTGGTGGTTATTACTTGTGGCCTTTTGCCGGTCTTCAACTTGAGTATTTACTCTTACTCTAAAAAAATCAGAAAGGTGGATACTTGTAGGTATTTACTAATGTTTAATATCCAAGCTTTCCTTCATTTCATACAGTTGTACCTCCTTCTGTTGTTCTTGGATGTGAGTTGAAATATCAAGTTGCATTATTAATAAAAGGGTTTTATAAAATGAACTGCTTGTTGAGTTTTGAAGTCATAATTTGAATGGGAATGAAACATGACTATCAGCCCTGCCCCTACCCAAGAAGTTGATTTTAAAAAATAAAAATAAAAATAAAAAATACTCTTCAATAAAGTCATAATATAGATTTGTTTTTTTAAGCAAATTATTTCCTTCGAAATCCAATTATGCCCGAACCCTTGTGCTGTAACTTGTCCCTCTACTCCAACTCCCCCTTGGAATTTCTTCCTTTCCATTAGAGTTCCTGCATCTCGTCTCTTTTATGGCTCTACTTCAATTTTAGGTAGGCTCTTCTTCGTCCGTTATCTGTTTGTCTGTTTGCTTTTTAGTTGTGTTCATTTCTCTTTGATGCAGCATTGTATGTGATAATGCAGCGTTGTTACTGAAAGTGAGCATGTTTTGGTAAGCAAAAAGGAGGGTGAAGGGGATAATTATGAAATTCTCTTGAATCATGGTGATGGGCCAAGTGCGCGTAACAATTATCTAAAAAAGAGGAAGAGAGGAAAGAAGAGAGAGAAAAGGCAAGTCATAGATGAAAAATTACAGCACTCCCTTGATCGGATCTTGGAATATATTGATCAATTGTCACATGGATTGGAGTCAATTAACTCTTTTAGCATGACTAGATGTCTTACTCTGTTAAAAGACGTACCAGGTTTAGAGGAAGGCAGTTCTGCATACAAATTGGCCCCACGAATTTTTATCCCAAAACAGAATAGAGAGGCATTTATCTATTACATGGAAAATGAACCTCACAAAGCTAATAAATTTCTAAGCATGTTTACTTTTGAGCATGTAAAAAACTACAGATGAACTTTTACTTGGTTTTGTATTTAATTTTGAACTATTACTTGGATTTGTATTTTATGTTAAACGTGTGTACTTTAGTTTCTATACGATGTTGCAATGACATTTCGGTCTGTGATTATTGTTTCGTAATACAATTTATATTTGTTTGAATAGATACATATAACAATAATGAGTTGTTTCAATAGAATGAAAGTGCAAATGAATCACTATACTTGAAGAATATGTTTTTAGGGAGATATGTTTATCATATTACATAAAATAATTTTGTCTCATGCACGTACAAAAAATGGGTGGGATTTACTTTTTTTCTTTCTCACTCTTCTCCTTAGTGGATTCCACCCACTTTTTAGGTGTTGTATGAGATAAAATTGTTTCATGTAATATGAGAAACATATTTTCTCATGTTTTTTTCATCAACTATATTAGTTCTTATGTTTGTCTTACAATGCAATTATCAATATGTAGACGAACAAAAAAAAAAATTAACATTGATTATATCTGAACATGGATGGTTGGTAGAATGAAAAGAGTGAATAAAAATGGATTTTTTGAGCAATTTCGAATGAGAAACCCTGTGTTTAATAGTTTGGTAAGTGACTTGATTCAATACCATGGATTAAAGCCAACCCATGTTGACATTGAGGAAGTTTTGACCATATTTTTTGTACATATTGGTGATGAAGCCACTTACAGAGAAGATGGAGAGAGATTTCAACATTTTACAGAGACAATTTCATCATGTATTAAAACTTGTTTAAAGTTTAGGACTTCAAATAATTAAGATTGACAATATGTTATAGAAAATGAACGATATTGGCCATACTTTAAGGATTGAATAGAAGCTATGGATAACACTCATATTGTTATTTATGTTTTTTATACCAGCATAAAGGGAATAATTACCATGAATGTTCTTGTTGATTGTTTTAATATGAACATTACGTTTGCATTGGTAGGTTGGGAAGTGTTTATGCATGATACCAAAATTTTCACTGATTATTTTGCACAATTGCATTTAAATTTTCTTCTTCACCAAAAAGATAATTATGCAATATTCTTATTTAATGTTAATGTAAATAATTCATATATTGTTGTTTCAAATATAATCACCTTTTATTACGTATAAACACTACTTTGTTGACTCTGGATAAGTTTCAAAAGGTTTTTGGAACCATATAGCAACACAAGATATCATCTTCCTCAATTTTCATCATTCACGTTTGAGCAGAGTTATTGAAAGTACCTTAAGAGTTTGCAAAGAAAAGTGGAAGATATTACTAAAAATGACTAACTTTGAGCTTCAAAATCAATTTGGTATCATACCATCTACGCTCTCCATAATTAAATTTGAGACAAATATATTTTGAATACTTAAGAATATTGATGAGTTTGAAGTCAAAGATACTAGTCGAGATGAATAGGAAGGGACAAGTGCAAAATCAATTAAATTAATGGAAGAAACAATAGATCATATTAGACACTATAAATCAATTAAATTAATTGTCGGCGCGAGTGCATTGTTAGCTTTTAGAAACTATAGTATAACTGATATTATTTTTATGATTGTGATATGCTATTATGTATTATTTATTTTTTAATCATTTTAGTCATTGTCTTTGTGTAAAATAATTAAATAAAAATTCCACGAATCTTCTATAATTAAATAATGTCATAGTATTAAAAAAAAATAATGTATAGTATTAACAAATAAAAAATTGCAAAGACAATTTGATTATGAAATTTTTAAGCTTATAAGTGCTTTTCGTTCAAATATGATGTGGGAAAAAAATTACATGTATTTTTTAATAATTTTAATATATATATATATATATATATATATATATATATATATATATATATATATATATATATTAAAAGTCCATCCTATCGGATGTAAATAAAAAAAACCCAAAAACATTATGTGTAAAATTCAGAACTCCATTTTCCCTCGTGTGTAATTATCTGCATTGATGATTTGTTTTCCTTGTATCTCTAAATCATGATCTGCATGTTGATCCAATCGTTGGGAGAAATTATTAGCTGCTCTTAAGATCAATGCAGCAGATGTTGATATAATCGCAAATGCTAGAGTTAACTTATTAAAGTGATTGTTCCGCAATCTATCTAGAAGTTATATTCCAATTAATTGATTTTTATTGTTTCCAACTGTTTCACAAAATGGTAGCTGAAAGAACCCTGCGTGAGCATAAAGGTGATGCACTTGCTTCGCTAGAGTGGTGGGAATGAACTAGATGATACGTCTCTGCTTATATTATTTTGCATTGGAATTTGAACCTCAAATATATGCTATAACCTATTCAATCAGAAAATATGTGCGAATAGATATAATTCATGTAATGGCATAAACTTTAAAAATAAAAGAATGTACCTAACTACAGGTATCCGAAAAAAAAATGTTTAATTATTATTTTGTGTTATATGTGAAAGTGTATTTTTTAATATTATTCAAATTATTTTTGTTATTTTACAGACATAAATATTGACAATCAATTTAAACTTATTTAGTGAAAATATAAATTTTATAAATTATTTTACATATATTTATATATTTTATTTAAATTAATTTTTTAATATTTTAAAATAAAAAGTAATGTATGAATAAGTCAAAAGGAAATTTATTTATTTTTAGTTTCCCAATGTATCATTCAGCCGACAGCCCAAGACTAATCCTTTCAAGACGGGAGATCACATTAAGTGGGTAAATCTCTCCCAACAAAGTTTTTTTCATACGTACGGCCAGGAATCGAACCCCTGCCAGTAGGGGTGAAACTGGGCTGGGTTGGGCCAAACTTTGCCCCGAAAAGCCCAAGCCTACGTCAAAAAATTTCAATTTGGCCTGTCTCAAGCCTAGTGTGAGTCTAACTGTTAGCCTAGTTTGACCCGTTTATAAAAAAACAAATGCCCTGGCTTAGCCCATTAGCCTGTTAATTTTTAACTTCCAAGCAGAACCATGAATCAACTTTACAAAGTACTCAAATTATGTTGCTACACCAAAAATCATAATTTCAACGTCCAAACAAAATCATGAATCATAACAAAACTAATACAATATGCATTTAAGTCATTTTCAAAACCAAAATGCTCAAACTAAATTATATATATTTCATCAGATCCAACAAACAAATCCATACTATGTAAATTAAAATAACTACATGAATCCAACAAACAAACACATCATGATGTTTGTAGTAAGTATAACCTCTCTAAAAAATGTTTTAATATATTCATATACACAATCTAACATGTTGAGATGTTGGTTCCTCCTATATAAGAAATAAAGTAAGATTTCTATTAAAATATAATCGAATATAATTAAGTTATAAATAATTGCAATTGATTAAATGTATATCTTTTTTTTTTCTTCAAGGCATACTTACTCTATTTTATTTTATTTAAAATAAATATTACAATATAAGCCGGCCTGTAGGCTTATAGGCCCGGCCTTTTTATTAAACATGTTTTTTTAAGGCCCGAGTCCGGCCTATTATACAAAATATACTAGGTCAAATCTAGCCTGATGTAGGCCGAGCCGTAGGCCCCTGTAGGCCGGCCCGACCTAGTTTCACCCTTACCTGCCAGCATATTTAAGGAACCCAGCTATCTACCAACTGTGCTGGGCTTTGGGTAGGGTTGTGCATGGGTCAGGTCGGGTCAGATTTTTGTGCCGACTCGACCCAACTTGGTTTTTATAGGTCCGGTATTTTGACCCGACCTGCTTTAATTTGATCCAAGTCAGGTTTGACTTGGTTTGAATTTTTTTGAACTAGTTCAGAACTGGGTCGGATCTTACCTGACTTGGTTTCTGAAGTTCTTCTGCCTTGGTTTCTGAAGTGGGTCAAATTTGACCTGACCCGTTTTTTACTTGGTTTCGTCACAAAATTTCGTCAAAATTTTTACGTTGCAAACAACAAAAATTTCGTCACAAAATTATTTTTTCGTTGGAAGACAGAAATGTGTTACGTTGAAAATTTTGATGGAAATGTTTTTTATCAAAAAACTTGACGAAAATATTTAGTCGAAAATTTTCGATGAAAATGTGTTTCGCTAAAAATTTCGACGAATTTTTTTTTTTTTGTCATAACGAAAATGTTTCCGTCGAAAACTTTTGCCGAAATTTGAATTCTGTAAAGAATTTTGATGAAATTTTTTTCCGTCAAAAAATTTCGATGGAAATGTGTTTCGTCGAAATTTTTGATGAATATGTTTTTTCGTGAAATATTTTGACGAAATTTAGATTCCGTTAAAAAATTTGACAAAAAAAATTTTCCGTCACATTTTTTCACAGAAATATTTTTAGTCACAAATTTTGATTAAATATTTTTCGTCAAAACATTTTCGAAAAATTTTGTTGGAAATATTTTGTGTAAAATTTTTTAACGTAATTGTTTTACGTTAAAATGTTTCTTTTAATGTAATTGTGATATTTTTTCTTTTTTTTTTCACATAATGAGTATGGTCAAGTTTTGGGTCAATGAGTTATTATTAAAACAAGTCAGGTCTAAAACTGACTCAAATAAAGTGGGTCAGTATTTAAACCCAGTTAAAAAAAAGAAGGTATTTATGGGTCAAGTCAAGGTCAGATTAAGGGCAAGGCAAGTGAACCAAATTTTTTGCACACCCCTAGCTTTGGGTCCCTAACAAAAAACATGGTTCCCACTACAAAAAAAAAACTAATCCCAAGATCCCTAAGAAATTCATAGTGGATCCATTTAGTTGAAATCGTTGTCCCTCACAAATTCAAAAAAATCCCTTAAAAGGACTAAAATGGGTCCAATTTGAATTTCATATGAACCAAGTGACTATTTTTTTTTTGTAAAGGACTAAAGTGAGGACCTTGTTTTTTGTTAAGGATCCAAAAGAAACTTTAATTTAAAAAAAGGGAAAAAGATTTCTGCAATTATCGCAGATAAGTTATCTGCATTTATTCCCCAAACGACGTCGTTTTGGTATTGAAATCTTAAAAAATTATAAATATAAATACTATTATAATTGTAAAATAAATTAAAATTACAAAAATA